ATCCGAACCCTTGGCGGGAGCGCCGCCACGCTCCCAAGCGGTGCACTCTCCAGTGCGCCACTGGGCCGGCCCTGAATGAATGATTTTAAGAACAGAAGCTTGTTTGGAGAATCCTAGTTGAAAGTACTGCACAGCAATAACCAGGTTAGATGCAGAGCCAGGCATGCTGGGCGGGCCTGGAGGAAGACAGGAGAGGCAGGTTGAGGAATGACAACCACCCTGACGAAGACCAACGTTGAGACAGCCTCCTCTGAGACCTCTTTCAGCTAGGCCTCGTCCTTGGGCCCTGTCTTCAGCCTGCCTCATCTAGTTGTAGCAAGAACCCTGCTAAGTCAGTTTAATGAGAATCCCCCACCCTTGATGTCTCCTTGTAGCAATTTTCTATCCGTGACCTCCACACTGCTCCTTGGCTTTGTTTTTCTTTTTATTTTCTTTTTATTTTCATTTTCATAGAAATTCTCCTTATTAAATGACTGTCTTCTTGAACCATCCAGCAAATAGCCCCAATTCCAAATCTCAGCAGACGGTTTAGCTGGACTTCAATGAACTAAAGATGACAAAAGTGAGAAAGAGACTTGAATTGCTCAGAGAAGAGAAGGATGCCTCTTCTTCCCTCGAACAAGAGTGAGGACTGAAAAAGACTGTCTCCTGGACCGCATGTTACTCAGTCTCCTCTGAGCCTCTTTTCAGCCAGGCCTCATCTGTCCTTGACTTGCCCAGCGCAATTGTTAAGAATTTTCAAGAACTGTTAATTCTTGCTAAGCCAGTTTAGCAAGAATCCCCCCACTCTTGATATCGGACACCCTCCATACCTAATCAAATGCCCCCTGTCGGATCCTCCTGTCAAGTCAGTTTACGAGTCCCGCTACCTCTGATGTCTCCTCTTAGTAATTTTCCATCCATTGACCCCATCACTCTGCTCTTTGGCTATAAATCCCCAGCAGTCTTTGCTGTATTCAGAGTTGAGTCCCATCTCTTCCCCTACTGTGACAGTCTTGAGACCTACCAAAACGTCTTGAATACAGTCATCCTTACCTTCCTGAAAGTGTCAGAATAATTTTTTCTTTAACAAAGGATATGGCCTTGAGCAAGTCACGTCACCTCAGTTTTCTCAACCATCAAATGAGACCCACCCCTAAGAGAAAACCTCTTGGACACTGCCACCAGCCTGAATCAATCCCAAATACGCCACATTCCTAACACACTGCAACGACTAGAGCTGTTTGTTTCCCTGGAACCCTTGAGTATAACCCTTTTCCTCAAATCTGGTCCACTCCTCCATATACCAGAATATGCCCTTTGCACTGTCACATGCTGATGCTCTGGGGTTTCCCAAAGTTGGCTTATAATTTCAGGAAGACATATTCAATAATATATTTGCATTTTTTTTTACTGTACACATAGCATTTTATATGGCTTATTATATAGATGATTTAACTTCCTTCTCTAAAATATGGACATAAAGCCAGTGCTTGGGGAGACCGGTGTGTTAGTGCCGTGACTCTGAGGCAGCCTCCACCACCCACATGCACCGTCCTGTGAACTCACATGCAAATACCCCAGAGCTCAAGAAGCCCAGGCTGGATCTTTTTTTTTTTTTTTTTTTTT